GCTTAAGGTTGAGTAGCCCCAACAGCGGCCATAATCAAAAGTTAATCGTCCGATCGTAAATCGTGGCACAGATGGGTAGAAACTTGGCTTTACTTATGTCCTGCAGCCGCTGTGAAAAGTCATAGTTCCATTGGGATTTCCAAGATTTTCCAGAAAGGCTAGAGGAATTATTCAATTATGTCCTCTGCATCAGGCAATGAAGTGGTAGAAATGGTGTACGGATTGATTGAATGTTTTGACTAATATTACGACCAACGAAATATGAGATATACATTAACACTGATGAATTTTATCTCCTTTTATCTAATTTAAATGCTCACAAAATACGGCATACATGGAGGGATGTAAAATACATCCGGGTATAATGACTGTGTAATGAAGTTAATGTCAAGATGGGTACATCAACACAGTTCATGAACGCGTTTCAACGGGCCTTTCGCAAATGATGGTAGTCTGTCTGTTAGCGTCTGTCTGTTTGGTCAGCGTCGGTACGTAGTAGACCATTGCAAACATTTGGAGATAGCATATCAACCATTCTACAACCAAACAGGCTGCTAAGAAACTCATTGTATTCCCCTAACATATTGGCTTTAAATATTTTACAGTCAGAATTCAGATAGCTTTCTTATTTTTGGGTTATTGCATGTCGCTGCGTTTCGTTCCCGTTTACGTCGCCCGCGTCTAACATTTAATGTTACAGTTCACTGTATTTGATCGTTTGTCCATTTAAATTGAAGTGCTTTTGCAAAGCTTCAATCTCCAGGATTCTCGAGTCTTGGGAATCCAGACCGATCGGACGTTAAGTGTTGACCTCGAATTTAATCATATGGATACACGTATAGGGTGCAACAAGCGGTATTCAATTTCTAATTGACCCCAATGTTTGAAACGTGTATGGATAAGTTTGGTTGTCACAAAAAATGGTGTGGACTACTGCCTCAAAGAAGGTGCGGTTTTGGCTAGTGTACAAATTTCTTCTATGTGAAGCACACTTGCAGAACGTGTATTCTGTCCCCAGTTTAAACAGCGACTTTATTCGAATGTCAAAACGAACGCAAGTTGTGTTGATATGAAGCTTTGCGCCAACGTTCATAGGGATTAATTTAAGTATACAAGTATTGTACTTGTCCGTACATCTATAATAAGTAGTCTCCTTCTGAGGGTGTCAACGGATATCTTAGATGTTATGCTGGGCAGTTCCCGCTGCAGCATTAGCTTAAATATTGCCTGACACTTAGCTGCCCCTTCGCTGAACAGTCTTCCAAAACCGCAATCGTCACAGTTCTGTGGTAGTAATGCAGGCCGTGAAAATGTTTATATACGGGATACTTAGGACTTCAACCCAGCCAGAACGGTCAAATTCTCTCAGGTTCTCTTGTATGACCCAGTGTTTTGTCCGACTATTTCCAAGTCGGCCCGAGGGCGGCGCAATGACTTGTGTGGGGTGAACTTCCATCTAAAGTGTGCCGAATGCAATTCAGTTGACGTCATGCATATTGATATACGTAAATTATCAGGAATTACTCTCGGATAAATCGATTTCCAACGGTCAAGCACACACTGTCATGAAAAAAATCGCTTTTTCAGTCGATTTGAATTGAACCCGATGTGTGCGCATAAAGTGGTAAAAGGATTCTACCATAAATACACCAAAAGAGGCAGCCGTCTGCTTTTACTGGAATGTTTGATTGTGGACAGTTTAATGAGTTCGGTTACCGTGATCTTTGAGCGAAATAAAGGTTTGTCCAAATAAGTGTTCTGTCATTCTGTTGCCAATCAGATTCTTCATGAAGTACGAGCAGCTGTCAGTCCGCCGTTTACGCAAAGTGGAAGATGCTGCTTTTAACTTCGTTTCTGCTTCGCATATTGTATCATTTTGCCGGTATAATTGTCGTTTACTCTTTATTTATGGCAGTACTACCCTACTTTAACTGTCAAGCATAATTTGCCAAATAATACACGATTCATTATGCTGCAGAGACGGTGCGATAGGATAGATGTGTACTGCTATCAGGTTTTCTGTCACCTCGTCCCGCGATAGCACTTGGACGTCGCTTATTGGCAGATTTCCTTTCTTCTTAGAAACATTCTATCGCCGTTAGGGCACTTCTATACATTCTAATGGTGTCTTCTGTGATATTAATGAAGTGAGGTTTTAAAACCTATTTACACCTACCTTATCTGATATTTGGTGATGTGCATATCACACTGGGGTGTAGGGGTGTCAGCGCTGGGTCTCCGTAATGGTCGTGGTGGTCGCTCACTTGCTTGCAGGTGAGACTGCGCCTAGCGTCCACATGCCAGCACTCAACTCTCACCTGTGGCTCCAGGTAGCTGAACTCTGCTCAGCGGCCACACCCCGGGCAACCGTCTCAAGCGGCGGGCTAAACCAGGTGAGGAGGCCCTGTGCGCTGTGCCGTGTGCACAGGGTTTGCGGATTCCGCTGGATGGAAGGTCGGATGGAACCTTGCGTCGGCACCGTCGTGACGTGGTTCGTCTCTGCACGCGGCTGGACAGCCGGTGACGGGATGAATCTCCACATCGACGTCGCCTTGATGCGCCCACCTACGCCGTCGAAGACCGCGGCTTACGGCGAATTCGAGTCGCTCTCCACTACAACCCGAAGTCGTGGCCCCATAGTGGAGTTTGTCCGTGCCACAACGGCACATGGCAGCCCTATTCAGAGATGGCACTGCCAGCCCCCACGAGGGGAATGTCCTAGAAACGGTGGCCTAAACATTGCTGGGTACCGCGCCGTCTCCAGGCTAGCCAGGGCCGCAGACGTCTTATCATGGTCGAAACAATCAAAATCGAAACAAATACAATACCAATAACAACAACAACCATACTCATTCTCCTCATTCTACCTCTTCTTCCTTTTCCTCTGCCTATTCTTTTGCCTATTCTTCTCCCTCGTGACCTTCTTCTCCATCTCCTTCCCGTCGCCCTACTCGTTGTCACCAGACTGGCAGGGTGAGCACTCTCACTCTGGCAGCCTGGAATGTTCCTTCCCTTTTAGACAATCCGAGAAACAACCGACCGATACGGAGGACGACGCTAGTGGCGCGAGAACTGGCCCGCTACAAGATGGACATCGCCGCACTCAGCGAGACCCGTTTCTCCGAACATGGCCAACTGGAGGAGGTGGGTGACGCTACACCTTCTTCTGGAGCAGTCGACCCAGGGCAGAGCGACGGGACGCGGGTGTCGCCTTCGCCATCCGGAACGACATCGTGGGACGACTATCCAGTTTGCCGCAGGGCATCAACGATCGCCTGATGAGCCTCCGCCTGCCTCTCTGGGAAGTCAAATTCGCCACCATCATCAGCGCCTACGCTCCGACGATGACCAACCCCGACGCCGTCAGAGACAAATTCTACGAGGACCTGCACGCCCTCTTGGCGACTGTCTCGAAGGCGGACAAGTTGATTGTCCTTGGTGACTTCAACGCCCGCGTCGGAACAGACTATACTGCCTGGAGAGGAGTGCTGGGTCCCCACAGTCTCCGCGGCTCAAACGACAATGGTATGTTGCTTCTCCGCACCTGTGCAGAACACCGCCTCATCCAGACGAAAACCTTCTTCTGTCTGCCGGAGCGAGAGAAGGCCACCTGGAGGCATCCTCGGTCTCGCCAGTGGCACCCGCTGGACTATGTTCTCGTCCGGAGGCGAGATCAGCGGGACGTGCTGGTAACGAAGGCGATCGCGGGTGCTGACGGGTGGACCGACCATCGCCTCGTCATTTTGAAGATGCGTTTTCGCCTAAAGCCTCTCAGGAGACCACAAGGTAAGCGACCCCCAGGTAAGCTGAATGTTGCCTTGTTGTCTTTACCCGTTCACTATCTTCATTTCAACAATGAGCTAGCTCAAAGGCTAGACAACCTTCCTATTGCTGCCGCCGACGACGCCGCCGCTGCCGAGAACGCCTCCGTGGAGAACCGCTCGTGTCAACTGCGAGACACGGTCCAGTCGGCGGTGCTCGCCGTCCTCGGTCGCGCTCCCCGGCAACACCAGGACTGTTTCGACGACAACGGCGCCGCCATCAGAAATATGCTAGCTGAGAAGAACCGCCTACACAAAGCCGACGTAGATCACCCCACTGATGCCACCAAAGCTACCTTCTACTGCAGTCGCCGCCAACTTCAGCAACAACTGCGCGAGATGCAGGACGCCTGGACTGCTCGCAAAGCTGAGGAGATCCAAGGGTACGCGGACCGCAACGAATGGAAGAACTTCTTCTCTGCGATCAAAGCTGTCTACGTTCCGCCGACAAAGGGCACCGCTCCTCTCCTCAGCGCCGACGGCAACACTCTCCTGACTGAGAAGACGCAAATCCTGCAGCGATGGGCCGAGCATTTACGAGGCGTCCTCAACCGCCCCTCCGTCATCTCCGACGCCGTTATCGAGCGTTTGCCGCAAGTGGAGACCAACGTGGACCTCGACCTCCCGCCATCTCTCCAGGAGACCATCAGGGCCGAGCAGCAGCTCTCCAGCGTGAAAGAACCCGGATCGGACGCGATCCCTGCTGAGGTCTACAAGCACGGAGGTCCCCAACTGATGGATCACCTGACTGCGCTCTTCCAAGAGATGTGGCGTCAAGGTGAAGTCCCGCAAGATTTCAAAGACGCAACCATCGTGCATCTCTACAAGCGCGAAGGGAATCGCCAAGTCTGCGACAATCACCGCGGCATCTCCGTGCTGAACATCGCCGGGAAGATCTTCGCACGAATCCTCCTCAACCACCTTAATAACCATCTGGAACAGGGCCTTCTGCCGGAAAGCCAATGCGGCTTCCGTCGTCATCGTGGGACCACGGAAATGATCTTCGCCGCCCGTCAACTTCAGGTGAAGTGTCAGGAGATGCGGACCCACCTGTACTCTACCTTCGTGGACCTGACGAAAGCCTTCGACACGGTGAATAGTGATGGACTGTGGAAGATCATGCAGAAATTCGGCTGTCCGGAGCGATTCACTTAGATGGTGCGTCAGCTGCACGACGGTATGATGGCGCGAGTCACGGACAACGGAGCTGTCTCAGAAGCATTCGCAGTGACCAATGGAGTGAAGCAGGGCTGCGTACTGGCGCCTATTCTCTTCAGTCTTATGTTCTCAGCCATGCTGATGGACGCTTACCGCGACGAACGCCCCGGGATCCGCATCGCCTACTGGACGGACGGTCACCTCCTGAATCAACGGCGGATGCACTTCCAATCGCGCGTATCCACAACCATCGTTCACGAACTCCTCTTCGCCGACGACTGCGCACTAAACACTACCTCAGAAGAGGAGATGCAACGGAGCATGGACCTGTTCTCCGCCGCCTGCGAGAACTTCGGTCTGGTCATTAACACGCACAAGACGGTGGTGATGCACCAACCTCCACCCAACTCAGCCACAGCCCCCAACGCGCCGCCGCAAATCAGCGTGAACGAAACCCAACTGCAGGTGGTTGAGAACTTACCGTACCTGGGCAGTACTCTCTCCCACAACACCAAGATCGACGACGAAGTCGCCAACAGGATCTCGAAAGCCAGTCAAGCCTTCGGTCGCCTCCGAAGCACAGTTTGGAATCGTCACAGTCTTCAGCTGAGCACGAAGCTGATGCTTTACAAGGCCGTCATCCTGCCGACACTACTGTATGTAGCGGAGACTTGGGCGGTGTACGCAAAGCAGGCACGTTTTCTGAACCACTTCCACCTCAGTTGTCTTCGTCGCATCCAGAGGCTGAAGTGGCAGGATCGAATCCTCGACAGTGATGTGCTGGAACGGACGGGAATCCTCAGCATCTACGCCATACTGAGACAAATTCAGCTGCGATGGAGCGGCCACCTGGTGCGCATGGACGACGACCGACTACCAAAACGACTCTTCTACGGAGACGTCGCGACGGGTTCTTGCCGTCAAGGAGGCCAGATTTGCCGTTACAAGGATACCCTGAAGTCCTCCCTGAAATGCCTGCAAATCAACCCCACCAACTGGGAGGAGCTCGCACTCGATCGACCGACCTGGAGGAGGACAGTGAAGACAGGCGCTGCGATCTACGAAGCCAACCGCATCGCTGCCGCCCAAGCGAAACGTGAAGCCCGAAAATCACAACTTCGCCCAGTAAGCAACGCCGCCGCACGACCGCTTCCAACGTGTCCTCGATGTCAACGGACATTCTGGGTTCGAATCGGACTTAATGGACATCTTCGGATTAACTGCGTCTCTCGAACGGCACCAACCATCGTCCCCCCACCTGCCTCTTCCTCCTCCTCTTCGCCGCCACCTAACCATGACAATTCTTCTGAACCACCACTTTCGTCATCCTCCTCCTCCTTCTCATCCTAATCCTCCTCCTCCTCCTTCTCCTCCTCCTCCTCCTCCTCCTCCTCCTCCTCCCCGCCCACTGCTCCAACGGCGGCCGCTCAGGCGACTGTCCTGCACACAGCAACCGACATTACCACCATCTCCCCCGACTCCAGGGATGGGGATCAGGACTACACCTGCCCTCACTGCGACCGTACCTTCACCTCACACATCGGCCTGGTCGGTCACTTGCGAATCCATCGCACAGAGGCTGGCGTACCAGGGCCTGGACCACCAACCTACACCCACCGCTCTCGATTCCACTGCCCACACTGCCCTCGCACCTTTAGGCATCCCATGGGCCTTTTCGGCCACATGCGCATCCACGAGAGCGGCTTTGACCGCACTCCCGACACACCCATCACATCCAACACATCCTCCGTGCACATCCCCACCCTCGTTCCATCCGTCCGCGCCACCACCACCGTCTCCTTTGTAGCTGACACTGGCACCGCCGACTTCTCATGCCCACACTGTCCACGCACATTCACCTCACGCATCGGCCTGGTCGGTCACTTACGAATCCATCGCACAGAGACTGGCGAACCAGCGCCTGGAGCCTGGTAGACCACCGCCGGTCACACCACACATTCACTCACTCCCTACTTCCTCCTCCACCACCACCACCACCCCACCAGAAATCAACACTCACACACCTCATGCACCCAACTGCCACCTCCCACGCAAGTGGGAAGTGTGCATCTCGACTCGGTCCCCATGCGGCTTCGGCTGCACGGGTGACTTGAGTCCGAAACTATCCCGACACGTCAAGCGTCGTGGATAGGAAGGTTGCTAATTGACGCCCGCTTTCGGTTCACGCATTTCGTCGCGTTGTGTGTGTGTGTGCTGTGTGGAGTGGCGGATTGACGGGCTGGGATCGGGCTGAAACAGCACCTTTCACGGCACCCTCACGCAAGTGAGAGACACGCCGTTCAACCCCCGTTGTGTGAAATCCTGGTGTTGTGTGTATGGGGGGCCAGGTCGTGCCGTGGCGCGCGCAGTCATGGTCAGTCGACCATGAAAGCCACCGCGCCCATTCCCACTCCAGTCTGCTGGCCGGCTCGGACGGCGGCTGGGGTGTGGGAGTGGAGAGGGAGAGTGAGGTCGACGACTCAGCGCATTTTCCTCACTATAAACAATCTGACGCGCTTGAAGCTATCACGGTGTGCTAAAAGCCGTGGCTTGGAAGGTTGCCAACTGACGGAGTATCTTGGACCTCCTCCTTGACCGGAGGCGGTCTGAGAGTCAGGCTGCAATGGCTCCTTTTAATGTGGCCCTTATGGCACTCCCATCACAGTGTGGGATCCGAGCCAGGCGTTGGCGGCACGCCCAGGTGCGGCTTCGGCCGTGCCAGACTCCAAATCTCTCTTGTGTTGGTTTAAATCCTGGTTGTTTGTTGTGTGGACCAGGGGGTGTGGTGGAACGCCAAGGTGAGGATCCGTCCGAGCCATCCACCTGCGGCCTCTCTCGTTTCCGGTCTTCTTGACTCTGTCTTGACATCGGGCTCGGGCGAGGGAGGAGGAGATTGTGTAGGCAGATGCTACGCAAGTCTACCGGCACTATAAACCCCTGCTTAAGTCACCGTCCCTGCTCCCATTGCTGCTGCAACTGTGGGGCACACGGTGGACATCATCGAAACCGATGGTCGAACTGTCATATCACACTACTTCTCTACCACGAAGATGAATAAAAATTATTTGTGTTTTCTTCGCAGCATTCGGAAGTCCATACATCAGGTCAAGACACAACCGCAAAATATATCCTCCAGATATGAACTTTGATAATCCCTTCCATTATTTGCTAAGCATGCCGGCTGTAGTTGAACTGCTCACGCTCCGGAATATATTCGGGAAGACGGATTGTAGTCTGATTTTTGCCGAACTGGGCAGTTCACTTGGATGCTTCACTTACATGTCGACATCTTCAAGGAAATGCACTGTCTTTTGCAACCTTACATTTCCTAAGATATAAATAACATATCTAAAAAAGTTTAGGGTACCTGTTTACCATTTGCTCAGTTCTTTTGACTTTAGTGACCTTGTCTTCTCTAAGCGTTATCCAAGTCCACGTCATTAAACTCTAAGCAGGATATGAGATTATACACATGCTTAAGAGAATGTGACATCTTTTTGGACGTACATAGACGTCGTTTCCCATGGTGGAAGCAATCAAAACTTCGCGCGGATTAATCAGCCTCCTTGTCTAGACTCACGATCAATGGAATTGTAAATGCAGAATAATATCCTTTTGTCCGTATCTTCCACTCCTTTTAATGGCAACTCCTAAAATTGAGTCAAACCATTGATATCAAATGCTTTTTTACATATTTCAGACCACTAATGAGCTTTAGTAAAATATTCAGCCGAAGCATACCACTTGGCACATCGGACAAGAAACTCCCGAGTCGATTAATTTCAGTAACAATGCCGTCTTTGGCTGCGCTCTAGTTGAACACAGTTTTAATGATCAAATGACTCGCGTTTATGTTATCCGAATGCACCGCGTATTTTCGCATATTTTTGAATATGTGTCTTTGGATATTTCCAGTCATACGTTTCGGAAAAATCATGCCTGATTGTTTTCGGCCACAAAACAAGTTCATTCATCTATGCGTCGCCGCAACATGCATTTCTCGCATTTTTTTTGGACACTCAACTGAAATGGTGTACTCAGATATTACAAAATTTAAAAAATATGTTCTTGTTATTTTCTTTAGTATATTAACTGGTTAAACAGCAAGGACACGAGTCCAATATATGAACACATGCCAAAGTGAATGCCGTTCACTCTGCAATACAGGTACTTACATAGAGTCTAGTTATGGACGTGCAAGAACCGAAACTTCAGTACAGAAGAAATAAGTATGCTGTTTATTTTTCAGAGGGCCTATATTCATTTGATATACTTAAAACTGTTACATGACTGTGTAATTTAATAGGAAGCGTGCGTGTCAGTCATTATCAAGTTGATCAGTTTGTCGTCTTAGTTCGATAAACAACTATATAAACAGAGTAAATAGGGGCCTCGGGCACTAGCAAAAAGCGCTTTACTTAAGATAATCTACTTGTTTTCTTCTGGGTCATAGACAGAAGACTGATAATCCACTAGAAAGGCCCAGGAAGCCGTTCGTCTTCAGTCAAAATAGCATTCTGGCGTTCAGACAGCTGTCCATACAAAACAGATGTAATAGATAACTTCCTGATATGAACTTTGACAACCCCTTCCATCATTTGCTAATCTAGCTAGCTACAGTTGGGCTATATGCCTTCCAGGATAAATAAGGAGAAAAGAGAAAGCAGTCTAATTTTTGACATGAACATTTAACTTGAATGCCTCACTTAGGTGTTGTTAAGTAAAAACAACGTCTTTTGCAATACTACATTTCCAAGAATCAACTCACTTTTCTGAACAATTTTTATGAAAAAAAAAATGCCAACTCACATGGCTTTTGGGTTTTTTAGACCATATTTCGCCCAAGCGTAAAATAATTATAGATACTTAGAGAATTAAGCACTTATTGGGACATCGTTCGGATAACATTGTCCGTAGTAATATCGATTGAAATTTCGGTCGGATAAACCAAATTTGTTGCCTAGTCTCCTATCCAATACAATTTGACAATTGCGAATAGTATCTGCCTAATTTTGGAACTTTTCGCAGCAATCCATATAGCATAGGTATTTATGCATGGACTTGCATGCGAGAAATATGCTCGAATGTTTGTGACGGCCAGCCATCATGAGTGGTCTTGCTTCATTGCTTAATACCTCGCTGCCTCAAGGCCACTTGCCCCTCGCTGCGAGCCGCGACACACGCGCTGACCTGAAGCAACTCGACCGACATCAGCTCGAACACAACTGCTTCCACACAGCGTCGCAGCTACCCATGCGCCACTTGAACGTGCCACCTCGTGCAACCAACAGTCTAAGCCACTGGGACACCACCTCTCTGCAGATGCAAAACACACCGTTTGGATACCACTTGAGCTTGATTTCCGAGCCAACAAAAGCGGCAGCAAACATCGCATGGACTCTCAGGCATGACGGGACGCAGTCAGCATCATTCATGACTTTGCCAGTGGCCATTGCGGTCTGAGAGGTCAGCTGCAGATTCTGTGCATAATAAACCCCTCATTCTGATGCCTTTTCTCTTAATCCTTCCAATCTGGGATTTTCTCTGATTATTTTAGTGCTCATATTGCACAAACACCGTTTGGTCACAAGATCGTAAAATGCTTATAGCAACTACGTTCTTATGCAACTTCGTTCGGCTTATCTTCCATGAATACTGGTGTTTGAAGTCTAAACAAACAACTACAATATTAAGATGTTTATGGTTATAGGACTGGGATAAGGTAAATCTTGTTTTTTAAATGCATCCGACAAACACCTCTGCAATTCTGCGATGTGCTCGATTCCGTTTATGTCCCCACATTACAAATGGCAATGGTAGTCAAATTAAGGCAAATAATTATGATGATCGGATATGAAATTATGCTAGTATTCAAAGTCTCTTATATTCCGAGGAAATAGCTTATCACGACAATGTCGCAAATGTTAGCTACGATAAAAATACAGAATAAATTGACGAAACTGCCGTTTAAATGCAGTCACTAAGACAATGTTCACTACCCTACGAAACATGATTAGCTAATCTTGACCTCTTTCCTTTGAGTTACAGACAGCTACGTGGGGACCTGATACAAGCTTTCCGCATCGTGCGCAATCAGTGCTGCTGCCTCGCGTTTGGAGACTTCTTCGAGTTGGCGACTATGACTAACCTGAGAGGCCATCCACTCAAACTGCGTGTGGCTGGTGCCCGGCAAGACACCCGAAAGTTCTTCTTCTCAAACAGAGTGGTTGGAGCTTGAAATTCCTTGTGTGAGGATGTTGTTATGTCGGGCTCGGTAGATACTTTCAAATGGAGACTAGATCAGCATTGTAGCGCGCACCACAATACCACCGGACTACGGCCACCTTGAC